TCCTCCTCCTCTCTCTCTCTCTCTCTCTCTCTCTCTCTCTCTCTCTCTCTCTCTCTCTCTCTCTCTCTCTCTCTCTCTCTCTCCCTCCCCCTCGCTCTGGAACAACGACGATTCTATTCTCATCGGCGTTAACAATCGACCGCTCTTCCAGGACAAAATGAGCCTGGCGTTTAGAGAAGAGATCGCGTGGCATCATCACCGCGCATCGCTGTCTTTGTATCGTCGCCGCTACTATCGTTTACTACGAACGACGCTGTCTTACTTTCCATCGTTCCGTGCGTCACGCGGCAGCCGGCACCTCGTGCGTTTTGTATTCTTTCTCGGCGATGACGCACAGTCCGTTTTCGAACATTGCACAACGTGAGAAAGCCGAAGGCTCCATTTGGCGCGCGCGTGATCCTCCCAGAAAAGATGATTTCCTGACGTTTTTCGAGGATCAAGGACGCAATAGCGAATTTTTTTGGATCACACATTTGCTATTTTTAATGCAAATATGCTCAAAAATTTTGCTGGCAAATCTAAAAGTAATCTGGCCAGACATTGATCTAAAAATAATCTTGTTGGGCCTTCAAAATTATTGTGTACGACGTTCAAATTAATTGCTAGGAGATCAAAGATTTTTGCAGTATTATTATCACGCTTAAGCGTCCTAATAATTTGGATTGATGATTCAAAAAAATTATTTTAAGGTCCATATCTGGATAAATTTTCCGCTTTTAAATCCCCAAAAATTATCTAAAATTGCTTAATTAAAAAAAAAGAAATCTATGTCAAGATCTTTTATTAACCGACTCAGTACTCTCATTTCCTTTAACGTTCTACCGCGAGATATCTTTGTAGGCGTCTCAAACGTATATATTGTTTTCACACTCCACATTCATATGTATGTCGCCATCCAATTCCATGTTTTATTTGTCTTACACGAGTGAGATTCAAACAGCCGCACTCTTGATGCTAAATGTGAGATATGAATGCGTGTCATGGTAATCCCTCAGGCGCCCATCAGACATCTGTTAAACATCTTTTGGAGTTGGAGTTGGAGTACGTTGCTTGGCGCAATATCGAAACTGCTGTTAGATCAACTGAAAAACGCGGAGCGTCATTGCGCAATACGAGGCGCCATTATTTCCGGGACGGACAGGTGAAAATACGAGGAATAATTCGGCGAAGATCGTCGAGCGAGCCTCGCTTATTTCATTATCAACGCCGGCTCGATATTCCGCACCGCTGCTTATATGTCAATCGGGAATTCCGCGTAGGATATATTCAAAGAGTTATGTCTTTTCCCCTCGGTCACGATTGTGCAAGCGAATTTTATGATATGACTCACTTATCCCGAATAAAGCGCGCAATAAGCAGGTAAAAAGAGGAGAATAATTCGCGAATTGAAACTGTCTTTACAAAGTTTAGCCGTGACTTCGTCACAGTGTCACTTTAATTAACCTCTAGATATTACCTAATATTATTTTCCTTATCGAATCTCGAAAAGAAAAAACGAGATAACTCGCAGTAACACTGGTCAACGCTACAAGGAAAGAATATTTAAAAATTTGACTAGACTACAAATCTGAAAATAATTTTGTTGGGTTATATAGGACAATTATATAGGACGTATGGTGTGATGACAGTACTTGACAATTTTTTATATTCTGGTAATTAATTTAAGCTAATTTTTACGTAATTATTTTGATGGCCTTTGACTTTCCGACAAAATCATTAATATTATTCAGATCTCTATCGGGCCAAATGCTTAAGTAAAATTATTCTTTCCGTGTATCAAAAGCGAATAAAGGGAGAGCAGCGTGATAGCAGCTTGGAGAAGCCTATCTTTGAGGTTCTCCAGCGGAAATCTAGGTATTGGTATTCATGTCGAATATACGCGAGCCGCGCGGAGAACGCGGATGGTGGATCAAATGTCACGAAGAAGACACTGAACATCTTCCATCTTCGAATGCGGCTCTATCTTTCACTCGGTCGGCGCTCCTCGCCTCCTTTCTCTATTACGAAAGCTTGAAAATTCGTACGTGGCGTCAGGTGCGCATCCGTCGATATTCCGTAAGAAACCGAACATTCCAGAGGAGCGGTGCACACATCGGAAAGAAGGACAGAAGACGGAGGAAACGAAGGTGACAGAAAACGGAGGGAAGGGGAGGGGGGTATCTGTTCAAAGTCGCGCGACAAATTGCTCTCCTTTTAAGCTACCGGCATACCGAGCGTACAATTTGGATTTTTTTTTAACGACGTGACTTGAGTCCCCCGTGTGCCAAGATAAATACGACGCATCGAGTACAACACACGCAGGCGAATTCCATTCCTTTAAAAAGCCGCGCAAGCATTTGCCTAACACGAGCCGGGGTGTCTTTAATCGAATTCAGCATATTTACACAAAGCAACGCAAGGAAACAGGAACCTTCGCCGTGGAATCTCGGTTTAGGCGCGCGAGAGAAGCGAGAGGGACGGCGGAAGCGTTTCTTTTTTTCTCGCGTCGATGTCTGTTACGCGAGCGATCCGCATTATTGCGGCCTCGCGACATCGTTACGTGGTTCCGTCGAAGGGATCGGATGGCGGAAGAACAAAAAAACGGTGGAAAGAAATCGAACGAAAAAAGGAAGACCGAGAGACTAAGAGCGGTGCATGCATCGCTGGTATCGCTAATGGGTAACATCGTGGGCAACCTTGGTTTCATGCCTGAAAGAAATTAATGCGTGCCTGCCTACTCGTGTCCGAGGAATTCTCTACACGACAAAAGTCTTACGTCTATAAGGAAAATTATTCCGCGAAACAGTTTCATGAAATATGGACGAGTCAATGACTCCGAGAGTGACACAATTCCGGTCTCGAATCGCGACTTTGAGTCTAACGATTAAGAGAAACAGGCGTTT